CTATTCTCCAGAATAATTATAAACATGTTACCATTGGATCATCTAGCTTAAACTTTACAATAAAGCCTGATATTCTCATTGGAACAGGAAATCAGAGTTTATTGCTTAAAATGGGCTTCAGTAATTAGCCAAATATAAAAATTTCGTTTCCTAAGGTGGTTAGTCGCTGCTTGATAAACGCGGAAGTAACGTGCTTGAGTTTAAAATTGGGTTCAGACTCACTAGGGACCATAAGCTCCTTCAAATTTAGAGGTAAACCCTGTTGACAAACTAACCAGTAAGGAACTTCGGTGGTTCATAGTTCTCAATGATAGTCTCCGGCCACCTAACATCTTGACATAGCGTACTCGACATCAGGTCAGTTGGAATAGTGGCAATATTTCAACTTGATGGATAGAATTCGACCAGCACTCATGATTCGTTAAATATAGACTTGGATAAAACTCAGAAGCATATCAGTTTTAGACTGTAGACAATATTACAAAAGATCTCCAACTATTACCTATGTACTCTGAATAAGTAGTTCTAATCGATCAACTGAACTCTACTTTCCAGTAAATAAGCAAAAGTCCCCTCAAAATTCATAGTGTTTCTTGGCGAAAAGCAATAAGTAGTACAAAATATTGCTAACGGGTTTCTGTAGGACTACTTTCAATCCCATTAATCTGTATTTATAATTTCTAACAGGAGATCTGTACTACAAATCAAACAAAATTTTTGATGATAAATTAAACCATACATTTGATAACAACAGTAAAATATTCAATGATTATATTCGTTTTTTTTATTCGGTTGCATTTTATTCATTTAACTGCTTAGGTTGTGAAAAATTCAATCCATGCTAAACTAAATTATTGCACATTGAACAGAAGATTCAATGTCATTCACGAACAAATTCACATATCATAGTTGACCTTAAATAAGTACACACACTCACTGAATGAAATTATCTCGAAAAAGAAACACCAAATATTTATATAAATATACACATAATTTAAATTTCCGGTTATTTTGTGTATACAGTTTATTAAATTCATACTGTTAATTGTAACATTGAAAAGGTCAAATTATCTAGTAACAACTTGCAAAATCTTACAACACTTTAAAAACATCGCTGATTTCTATCATTCCTTGTTAAAATTAAATTCAAAAAACTAGACTACGTTTATTATTTGTTTTATTCAGTAAGCTGATTGTTGGTTAATTTCACTGTTGTTCAATGATTAAAAACCACTAAATGGGATTGTTAAGTGACCTAAATTCTTTCATTTTTACCATTTGTTAATGTATATATATTTAAATTTTTTTTTAAAAAATGCGTGATTAAGACAATGAGCGAATTAATTTATGTTAAAAAGAATTAAATCTAGTCAACAATCCTTACGTTAAAGTTAATTAAGATTATTCCAGATAAAAATGTGATGCTCAGTTTAAAAAAATTTAAAAATTGAATGTATCATAGTTAGATAGACAGGATATATGGACATTGAACATTTATATATGCTTAAAGTCTACAACTATTATAGCAATAAAGAGATACCTAGTAGTAGCACACTACTCTGTTAGAGTCCATGCAATCGTCGAGATATTAAGTACGACATCATTTTCAAGTATTTATCCTCCCTTAGATTTTGAATATTTCAAAAATTATCATACACTTTTAGTTTCGTTAAAATAAACTTTCTTTCTGAATCATAAACATTCTCTACTATTTTTCTACAACTACTACTACTTCTCACACTACTACTACTACTACTACTAAGAAGACTGAGGCAGGCGCAGGAAAACGTATTATGCAAATTTACACTCTCAGTCAATTAAAAACGAAAACATTACATTGAACACTCTATTTGCATACCGTCTTTGAGTCGTGACTTCCAACGCCCAAGCCTTCTTCCATTCCTGTTGTTGCTTCCTTTACTTCCTGTCGGTACTCCTCCATTTACTTCTTGCTTTTGCTCCATTTGCTTTCTGTTCTCCTCTTGTGACCTTGAGACTTCAGTTCACGTCCCTTCTTATACTACTTATATCGTTCGTATAAGTAGCACACACCACAAATACTACTACTGACACTACTACTACTACTGACACTACTACTACTACTCACACTACTACTACTACTAAATTTGTCTTCACAATTTATTGTCACGATGGAATTCTAGTTGATGCAGACAATTGCCTTCTATATTCAATAGTATTTTTATCAACTTTCTATCGTTTGGCCATAAATTAGTTAGTCCTTATCGGATAAGAGACAATTATCCGCCATCGGCAATAAACGAAGTTCACACGATACCATAGATTGATTGGAATTAGTTATTCACACCATTTAATACCCTAATCAGCAGTTCACATCTCAAGCGTTCGTGTGTGAGTGAATTAGAATCTTGATATTAGCGTAAACACCAGGATATGGAGAAATACCCCCCGACCTTGATGAATCCCAAACCCGATAGTTTCACTCCTAAATATCACTGGAACGTTTCGTATAACCAAATACAAATAAATGGATACTTTTTGAAAATTTATTCTTTACAATATAAGTAAAAACAAAGAAAAAAAAAGATCAATGATCAACGATAACAATAACACTTGAACATTTTACTTTTATTATTCTTCTTCATAATATAAATCAAAAGAAAACACAATAACAACAAAAACTAAAACTGCAATAACATTCACTTCCGGTGTTAAAAGATTCTAATCATAATAACAAAGAAAAAAAGGGAAATAGTAAATTTAGATCGCATTACCAGTTTGATAGTCTCACGTTCATTTGCATTCACAATCACATACACCCATCTACATTCCATGTATACATACATATTTATTTGTATATATGTATATATAAATATATATATATTAAAATGTATGTACATAGCACAAAGTGATTCTGTTTCATGAGAAAAATGTAATAAGAACATATAGTCAATAGTAGAAGAAAGTATTGAACACATCATGATACACGCATCCACAAAGGCAAGAATAATTGGGGAGACTGTAAATGGAATTGATGTTGTAGTATTATTATCATGAGTATGATTATTATTGAAATTCTCTTCAAATGATTTATTCGATAAGAGTTGTACTCACACAAGTTGGCATTGATTTAAACAAGTGTTATTCCAATAATAGTCAACTGTTATTATTTTACTATACTGACTCTTGTTATGATTACAAATAGAGTCACCTTTAGGCGATATATAAATAAATAAATGAAACAATAAACGAGAAAAACACTAGTCTCCAAATTATTTTTTATTTTTTTTAAATATTAGAATTGAAAGAGAAAAAAAACTGAAGACTACAAACATGTCGGTGGTGTGCGCAGATAAGCAGTAAGCAAATAAGTATGTGGGTGGTACAGTGGGCACAGAGAGACTATGACCGATGCAAACAATGGAAGAGAATACAGAATGGATGGATGAGTGAATTTCACAGTGAAAATGCAGTAATAGATATAAATAGATAGATAGATAGATAGATATTTCATACAAACACTTCACACAAGTATTTTTGTTTTAAGTAGCCTTTATACTCAGAGAAAAACAAACGACGACCTTAATACAATAATACTTGATAAACAGAGCGAAAAAAATAGACTTTACATTTATAATAACAGAAATATAATAATAATAATAATAATAATAATACGTGAAAAAGATTGCATTAAACAAGAAAAAAGTATTTTTTTTTATGATGTCTCACATATATATTGATGATAGCCTAACGAAAAGAAAAAATATCGTTCGTTTGTCGATTGGCAGGAATAGTGGGAGCGCACTGGAAATTTATTTATGTATTATTTACTCTCATTTATTCTTTTGGATGGTACTTGTTCGTCTACTGTAGTCGTTGATAATGTGTTCACTAGATTAGGGATTGGATAGGATATGTTTTTTGGTTCAGAATAACTATCCGATTGATCAGACTTTCTAGTCGTTTGATGTTTTGATAATTCCGATGAGAATGATAATGAGTCATCATTATTTTTTATACAGACAGATTCATTGAGAATATTTTCATTTGTCTGTTGGAATAGTTGATCAGTAGTAGCTTTGCCATCATCATCATCATCGTTTACTTCGACTTCTGCTTCATCTTCACCTTCCATACCTGGTAAACAGACACGATGGGCTAAAACAGCCTTTAAATTTAATCCATCGGCACCTTCCAAGTCAACTAGACGACGTTTTTGTTTGAACTCTTTGCGTCTTGATATTTCTTCAGGTGTTAATTCTTCTTCGGTCACATCTGGAGCAATCGGTAATGTCTAATGTGAACGAGATAGATTTTTTTAAGGAAAAAATAAAAAAAACACGATTTAGTCACAAATTAAGTGAAACACATAATTAGTGTTAATTAAATCTGTAGAAAAGCAAAGAAAACAAGCATTTTCTTGTTGTTTGTTCATGCTAGACGACTTCGAAATTGGGTCTGATGTGTCAGTGAAGATACTTGAATATTTGAAAGCTGGACAAACTACCTATTTCTTTTCACAAAAAAGCGCGCAAAATTTTATTTAAAGCCTTTGGATACTGGTTAGGTTTTCCGTAAACAGTCTAGCTTTTTGCGTTAATAAAGAGCCAACAATGCTATCAAGTAATTTATAATTAATTATTCACAGTCTGAACCTAGATGGAATGCTATTCAGTACTAGGAGATACTCAATAGCTATTTCGTTCAAGTATCAATCTACTCACCTTTGAGCATCTATGGATATTTTAGAAAACGAAGTTAGGATTATCAGACCTCAAAATCAGTCTTATGACTTTGGAGTGTACAGATTTTTAACTACAGTCAATTTGTACTCTGGTGCAATGATCATCCGATGACGAGTGTTTCACTGCCACTATGACTTACCTATTACTTATCAAGAAGCACAGGCTGCCGATCTGCACTCTCCAACCAACTCTGTTTTAGGCTCTCGTTGCTAGTTTCAGAAAAACTCTTCACAATGCCTGCTCAATAATACTATTATCTTGATGAGTAGCATCTCACTTTATGATGAATTATTGAGAATTTTATGAGAAATTGTTACTGGTCAACTGAAACTGTGTCTTAAGTAAAATTAGCCATGCAGTATATAATAATGAATATTTCATCTTCTATTTGAGTGAAGTCAAATAGTTAAAATTTTGAAGAATTTACCACTTATTCTCACATCAATATTACCTAAAATTGAAATTTATCGAAATAATATGCTTCTCAAACGTCATAACAATATTATGACGTTCATCAAAACTAATACCATTACTATCTCAACAAGCATACAGTTATCGGTAATATGAGGTGAATAAATGATAACAGAATCAAGGGAACATGTTACAACTTCATGGTTGTTACACATTAGCCGGATAGATATTGAACATTAACAAGCAGTAAGAAAAAAATGGATACATTGATGTGTTGCGTAATTAACAACAGACAAACAAACAAATAGATTCCAAAAAATTATTGAATATAGATAGACCAAATGTTTATTGGTTTAAGCTATGATGTAAGAGGATTTAAAGTGACGTTTTCACGTAGTCAGTAAAGTAGTTATGCGGGTTTAGTTTATAAGGATAAATTTATTTGAAAGCATTTCTAAATCACAGAAAACCAAATTAGATATTTAACCGAAAAATGAAGAGTACTAAAACTTAATACCACAATTAAACAAAACATTGTTCTAAAATTGCAAAATAGTTCTGGTCTTTATAATTCTATAGATGACGGTTTGTGTGACATTTGAAATTGGTAATTAACTTTCAATAAATTTATTTTGTTACACCTAGATTTATCATTCAAAATAATGCAGTGGACATTAGTATGTCTGATAGATAAATAGATAAGGTACACTTTATGCGGTTAGGGGTAATCAGCAGGGTGACATTGGCTGAAATAAATTTTGCGCTAGTTTACACTTCCCAGAAAAATAAATATATAATCTTGTGGGAATCAATAAGCTGTGATAGACTCATATCTGTTTTATCTTGATTCAAAGTTCATGATCGTATCACTGAGTGATTAGGGTGTCAAGTGACTTTCTATTCAACTCAGATATTTACAAATCATTAGTTATTATTTAACTAATACATGACTATTCATTATGGTAATTATATTAAAAATATATCGGATGATATTAATGATTTATACGTGCTAGGAAATTGATAACATTTAACACCACTTAACTTACATGTTTATACTAATTAAATATATATTAATTAAAGGAAGAATCGCCATTGACGACAATATAGTTACTATTGGAGTATTTATCAACATGGATCTTAACCAGTCAGTCGTTTCCTACATTCTGTTATTATTATCACCCTACTTTTAATTTTCTACTCACAATTTTATCATATTAATTACAATGTAATTGGGATGTCATTAAACCGTAGCCAAATAAGCCATCAAGTTAAATAATCATTTCTACTCTAAACTGAAGATTATTGAATTTTGAACAATTAACTGAGTCTTGACAAGGTTAATGTTAGCTAACGCTGAGATAATAATGATATGGCATTGATTCCACTTTATATTTCTAATATCTATTTTTTACTAATACACATTGCTATTCAAGAAAGATTACTTATTTTAACCAATCATCAAGGAAAATAATTCACCTGGTTATTTTAATAAGATAATTCCCCCTGTAACTCTTCTGGGGTTGCTGCCCCTTCAGAGCTTCAATAAACGAGGAGAGTTGGGCACTGGGTTAGCAAGCCCATCCCGTAAAAAGCCAACTAGAAATCGTCAGCGGCCTATACTCCATTCAGAGTAACAGAAATAAGTAAGTAAGTAAGTATTTTAATGAGATAAATCAACCCAGTCAGACGCACCATTCGCGGAGATCATTTACATTAATGATCTACATCGCTCACTTTATACACATTTCACTAAATCTTATATCATGATTAATGTTCACTGAATACGTTTAGAGAATAATCATTGATCTACGTTTAGTTTGATTTCTTGTCTACATTAAACTATGGATTATCACTTATTAATATACTGCCATTAATTACAGTGCGAATTTTTATCGAAGAATTAAAAGAGTTTTACCATTTTTAAACAAAAATAATGGTAATTAATTTTACATAATATGTATTATTTTCCTGGAAAAAATAATGGTTATTTAACATTGAATATAACAGGTGTGTAACTAATACTTCTTACAAAGAACTCTCATTAATTATAAAGTGACTTTATTCAGATAAAAGTAAATGTTACTGGAATAATATACAACAATGAACGGTAAGTAAAACTCTTTATTTTCTATAGTTTAGTGTTTCACTATGATAAATATTAAAGTAGCCATTAACTAGGAATAAGAATGATGACAATACTGATGAGATGAATCATGGATACAACTAATCTCCGACATGTGGTGAGTCACGATTCCAGTGGCTCAGTAGTAGCCTTTCAAACTATGAAGGTGGTTGGTATGTGTTTGAATCTTCAGGGAGCATCAGTTCCTTGAGGAGATTTCAATTACGCTTGCGAATCAACATTAAACAGTAAAAAGTTTATATCAGTAAAGGTGTCTTGCTGACTATCACCAACAACATAACGGGTTAACATAATGTACAAAGTGTCTAAGCATATAAATGTTTAGAAACCTCTCAGCAATAAGGACTAAACAAACATAACATAAATTATTCCCTAGCTATTCATTCAGTTCAAATGTGTTTTAGAAGAGATCAGACACTGTTCAACTGGCTCACCTTCAGTGTCTATTACCATGATGTTATGTTGAGTCGATAGACTGAGCAGGTTCTTACACATGAGTGTAAACTACTTGAACAGCATGTGATAAATACCAAATTTTACAATACAAAATTTTTTAAAATAAGCAACATTGAACAAACTGAAAGTACCAATTTGATTAGGAAAGAAATTTACCTGGAATAATTCGATAGGATATATGTATTCAAAGTATTATTATCTATTGAAAGAAATATATAGCCTATTCATGTTCGTGTAGTCGTCAGAAACGGAAATATTTGTCATGCTTACATGAAACAATCACGTATTCATGTTATCACTATTACTACTACTATTACTACAACTGCCACTACTATCATTATTATTATTATTATTACTATTACTATTAGTAGTAGGAGTAGTAGTACTAGAAATAATAATTACAAACATTCTTCACTTATGCTTTTTCGAAGAAAATTATGCGTGACGAAAATATCATAGACAAGAAAGAATGATTAACATTTAATCAACATAATGAAGCTTATCATGTGAGCGAAAATGAATCTTATTCACTCTTTCAATGTTTTTTTTTAAAAAAAATTTCTTTTGTCAATAGTTCTTTCATAAAAGATTGATTGGATTATTGTAAATGTTTCTTATTTTTTCTACGACTAAAACTTAATTAAACTGTAAATTAGAAGAATTGAAAAGTGAGGAGAGAGGTACTACTACTACTACTACTACTACTACTACTACTACTACTACTACTACTACTACTACTACTACTACATGTTAAAATTATTCTTAAGGCGAAAATATCGATCAATAAATGTTGTGAATACAGACCATATGTAACAAAGACATAAGCGCATAACTCACCATAGTTTCATTACAGTCGGTATTAGATTTAAATACCACATTAAACTTTGATGTTGAACACTAATCATAAGAAAGTGTTTCGTTGTTTAAGTCATAACATTTTTCCTTCAAGCTACATTATCGATTCAAGTTTCAATGACAGAAATGAAATGTGTTTACATAGACGCCTAATAAATTTGACTAGAATATTTGAGCAGAAAAAAAAATACAATTTTTTTATCTCATTAAAACTAGTCAAGTTTTATAAACACGAAACAATTATCGAATAATTGAATTGTTATGATTTGCTTAGTAGGTAAATAAGATGAAAAATGAGAATAATTTGCATATTACTACATATATTATTACCCTAGAGAATTGTTTGAAATCTGTTATATTTAACTGAAATAATCAACATCAGCTGATATTGAGATAATAACTCACCAATCACTTCGATTATGAATTAACTCTACGAGGAAAAACGATGTCAGTGTGGATTTCTAGCCTAAAAACTCTCTGATATTTACTATGTTACCTGATGTGGTTGTACTTTTAACTTTAATAAAACAAAGTGCATAATATCGGTTGACGGTCTAGTGAAGATTACCGAATTTGAATTTGAACATCAGATTCTGACTCTCAATTCTGATCTGAATTCCTTATGACCGTTATCTTTCTTTTTAAATTTACCTCACTGGATTTTACTTCTTGAATAATATGCTG